ATGAAAGTGTTGTGAAAAGTATTACAATTTCTTGATCTGAAAAAATATCAAATATACTATATAATTAATTACTTTAAAATAATCTAATCTAATTTAGTACAAAGGCACGTACCAATAGAAGGAGATAAAAGTGCTATAGAAATTGTTGTAATTTCTTGACTTATATATATTTTAGTACTAGAAGGAATGCACGTGCAATGCACGTGGTCAAATATTATAATTGTTGATTTTTAGTTTATGTATTTACTATGATATAGTTACAAAAAGTTTATTATTATCATAATATATTAAAAAGTTTTAGATATTTCAATATATAAAATCTTGTTGGTTTCAACATTTTACCTTACACATAATTAGTGAGGTTTAAAGTCTTAAAATATGAATGATCTAAGAGCAATTTAATAATTTCGAATTTTAATTTTAAAATATTAATGATGTAAGCACCAATATCTAAAAAACTATTATTATTAATAAAAAATATATCTTGAATTTATCAACGTAAAATGATAGGTTTCTCTGGTCATAGAGGATTTTGTTTAATTATAAAGAAATCACTTGCGCCTATTGTCTACTTCTACTTTCTATTATCTGGTGATCGAGTATTATAGATATTCAAAAACTTTTTTATAGAATTTTCAAAGTTAGAATGTGCAAATTCAATCAAGAAAGAAAATATAAATTATGTGATCAATTCCAAAATCTGATATTATAATCTACCTACATCTTCTCAACTAATTAATTAATTTGTCAAAAAGATTACTCTCTAATTTTAGAAAACAAAAAAATATAATTTGAGAATGATTTAAACATATTTTGTACGCATATGGATTGTATTTTAACAAAATAATATAGATCTATCCAATATTGAATAATATCCAAAAATTTAAGCTAAAGAGTTGAAAGAATCTAATAACACTCATATCCAAACTATATGCTTCATAAATGTGAGACATATAAAATGAATAACTTAATTTATTTTGTTAAATAATTTATTACAAATCATAAAAGATAAGGAGAACCATAAGGATCACATAGTCATCCTAAATAAAGATTAAATATCTCTCTGTGAATTTTGTAGCAAAAAATTTTCAGAGATACTGATAGACTTGCTATAAAATCCACTTTTATAAGATTGATGTCACATTTGTCTTAAATTGTGCTTTGTTTAAGGGTTAATTTTAGAAAACTTCCCCTCAACCCCCCCCCCCCCCCCCCCTGAACCCCCCCCCCCCCCCCCTCCACTACTTGAAATGAGTAAATATTTGTTTATCAAATTTGGGGTGCTATAGTTAATATATCTCAACTTCAAAATTTTGATTTAACCTTATAAACTTTTCTCAATTAACCCCTCAAACTAATATCATTGAGCAGAATTCATTATGTGATAAGTACTTGACTTGAAAAGACCAAAATATCCCTCAACCATAAAAGAATTAGCTTGATTTTTTGCTAGATGAAAGAAAAAGTGAAGATTTAGAGGTAAAAAGAATTGTAAATTAGTTGTAATCCTTTTATTATCGGTTGAGAGTTTCTTTTAACTAAAATGGATTTCTTTAATAGAGCATTTTGACAAAATCACTTATTAAAGTCTTTTACATTAAGGGGATTTGTTAAGAGATGTGTAAAAGACCAGGAGAGTTTTTATAAGACACGCTAAGTCAAAGGGTGTTTTCTAAAATCGCACCAAAGTTGAGAATGTTTATCTGCAACACCTCTATAGTTAGGAGACTCTGTCAAATTAAATTAGTTAAGTGGTTTTTGAGACATTCCCTATACTTGAGAGAGTTTTGATATATCGCTCTATCGACTGATATAAATGTTAAATACTTTATCTTAATAATATTTATGGTTTTATATTATTTTCTTTTATTTGGAATTTTTTTTCTCATATATCATTCATTATCGAAAATATTGGCTGGTATAACAAAATCGAGTGATTTTTAATTTGATTGTAAGCTTGGTATTATGTTGTGTTTGGAAACCAAAACTAAAGCACAAGTAATTAAAAAAGCCACAATTCATATCCCAATCTCTCTACTCTCAGCTCTCCCAAATCTCAAGCACATATATTAACGCAAATTCTTATGTTGAAAATTCATCAATATCTGAGATTATAGATTAAAATGTTGTATTATGTATGAGCATTATCTCATATGATATCCAGATATTTTTTACATAACCCCGATTATTACAATCCAATATCATGGATTTTATTTGTCCAGCATTTATATGATGCCCAACACTTTATAGTAGTCATCCGAAAGTCTCTTCTAAAGTTTTCTAAGTAAAGTATATAAATTTAGAAATAATTCAAAATTTTAAGATTATTCAAAACATGATGCTTTAATTTCTCCACATTTCCTCTAGTTTATAAATATAAGCTAACCCTTTGGTCTCATATTATATAATGAATATTATTTATCAAAGCGATCCCATACTATCAATATCTGAGATTATAGATTAAAATGTTGTGTTATGTATGAGCATTATCTCATATAACACCTAGATATTTTTTACATAAGCCCAATTATTGCAATCCAATATCATGTATTTTATTTGTCCAGTATTTATATGATGCCCAACACTTTGTAGTAGTCCTCCGAAAGCCTCTTCTAAAGTTTTCTAAGCAAAGTATATAAATTCAGAAATAATTCAAAATCTTAAGATTATTCAAAATATGATGCTTTAATTTTCCCATATTTCCTCTAGTATATAAATATAAGCTAACCATTTGGTCTCATATTATATGATGAATATTATTTATCAAAGGGATCACATACTATTACTTGTGGTTAACAAAGGCTTTAAATCTTTATTGGCTTAATTAAATTATATACCTTACAGTTTATTAAAGTTCCAATTACATACCTCCATTTGTATCTTGCTGCACTTAAATATCCTAATGTTTTTAAAATTGCATGTTTGTACCTTTTATACGCAAGAATACTATTTGTAATTTTCCTATATGAATATAATGATATAAGTTTAGGATAATTCTATATTTTCTACTCTTTCCATTAATAATTTATTAACATGCAATTGTCTATTAATATATTATTAGACATTACTAATAATTAATATGAGAGTTTCAAAATAACATTAGAAGTTTTAGGGACCAAGTTAGACAAACTTGAAATGGCATATAATATGATTAATTAACAATAATGATTAATTTAGTTTAGTTAGGATTAAAATATAATATTTAAAAAATAGGGGTAATATAGTCCATAGAAAGTTTTTTCTACAACTTCCTCTTTTAAAGGGAGTATGATTCTAAGCGAAGTATATAATTTCATTTATAATTCAAAATCTTGAGACTTATTCAAAATATGATGCTTAAAATTTTCCACATCTTCTGTACTATATAAATATAAGCTAAGCCTCTAGCCTCATATTATACGATATATATTATTTATCAAAAGAATCACATACTATTGCTTGTGTTTAACAAGGGCTTCAAATCTTTATAGTCTTAATTAAACATAAATAGCTTACAACTTACGAAAGTTACACGCATATACCTCCACTTATATCTTAATGCACTTAGATCTTCTAATATTTTCTAAAATTGGATGTTTGTACTTATGTACGTAAGAATACTCTTTATAATTTTTCTATGTGAGTGCCACGATATAATTTTAGGACAATTCTATATTTTGTACTCATTCCAAAATAATTTATTAACTTGCAATTGTCTATCAATATAGTATTATGCATTATTAATAATTAATATGAGAGTTTTACAATAACATTGGAAGTTTTAGGGCCAAGTTAGACAAAATTGAAGTGACATGTAATATGATTAATTAATAATGATAATTAATTTAGTTAATTTATGACTAGAATATAATATCAAAAAAGAATAGGGGCAATATAGTCCATAAAAAGTTTTTCCACAACTCCCTCTTTTAAAGGGAGTATGATATGATATGATGTGATGTTGCATGTGAGAGGATATCAATTATAAATAGAGTTTTATTTAAATAATAATACTATAATAAACTTCGAAACTGATTATGCAGTACCTTGAACTACTTGAATTTTAGTCAGTAAGATATTGCCACTTTGTGTGTAATTATTAATCATATAGCATGTGAATAATTGTTTGTAATTTGATCATTGATCACATACAAGAGCGAGGGGAGTAAATTTGGCATTTAATAAATTGTATAATTTACCTAAGCATACCGTGAACTACTTGAATTTTAGTTGGTGAGAGATCGCCACGTTGTGTGTAATTATTAATCATATAGCATGTGAATAATTGTTTGCAGTTTGACACTATTAATCAGGTAGCACATGATTAACTGTTTGCAGTTTGATCATTGATCACATATAAGAACGAGGGTGTGTGTGTGTAAATTTGGCATTTAATAAATCATCTAATTTATCTAAGTCGCTCTTTCATTCATGTATACATTTCAATTTAAACTATATCGTTATTTTCATACTATGTATATCCAACTTATTCTTACTTAACGGATTAATATTTGACTTCCAAAAGTATCTTTGTCTACTGAAAGATTTTACTAAACTTGTGCGTTTAAAAGGAGTGTGATTTGCTTGAGAGGAATATTCTATTTATCTTAGTTTTTTCATGGATTTCTATGCATATTCCTCTATTTAAGTTACTCAAACCCAGACCCATCAAGCCCTAGATATAAGATCCTAGTCCTATTTAAACCCGTTTCTTTAAACTTATTTTCTAGTTTTTTGGGACTAGTGAGGAAAAACAAACTACTTTATAGTAGAAATATAATTCACCACGTGTGATTAACAACCAACCCAACCTGAACTAGCAATTTATTCATAATGACTAATAGAGCGACTAATATTAAATAGTTAATAAGATTGGAGGGACGTAATAGCAATTTCAATGTTTGGAGGGGACTAATTTCAAAACAGTGAAGATGAAAGGGACCAACGTGGAGTCGGATCAAGCGGATGTAAAAAGATATGACCTATACTCGACCCGAACCCGCTTGTTCCCCGCCAAGAGTTCGAGCCTCAAGACTCAAGACCCGAACTTTGCCCTAAAGGTCACTCTTTTTTCGCCAAAACGAAGACGACGGTCTCTTCATTTTCAAAATCCTTCATCTCTTTTTAGCTCAGGCAATGGAGGAAGCAATCGCCAAAGCAGATAAAGAGGTAAGAAATTTCATCGATAACGGCTCACCATTCATCTGCAAAGTTTCAATTTTGATGCCAAATCTCAAATATCATGCTTAGGTTCTTGCTGAGATCGTGAAATTCTCTCAAAAGAACAGCCTGAAAGGATCTAAAGGAGGGTGGAAAGAGTTTTTGGATTCTCACGACCAGAAATTTGGCTCTGGGTTAAGCGATCCATCGAAAAGGTCTGCTGATGTGTTGATTGCGTTTCTGCTAACGTTCACCAAAAAAGATTGCAAGGTAGTTAAAATTGTGCTTTGTCCATGAGTTATTCGGTACAATTTGTGTGCTAATCTTTTTTTTTTTGTTGTATATTTGTTTTAGTTCCTTAGTAAAATGATAAAGCGGCGGAGTGATCGTGCGGAGATGGAGAGGTTTGTTAAAGAGTTTCCTGATCAGGAAACCCCGGAACAGGTAGGACATTGGGCTTTGTTCTTACATTGAGCATATTTAGATTGTTTTTCTTAGTTAAAGGTATCTTTGTTGTCTAGTACTGAGAATGTTATGATGATCTAGTAGGTACACTGAAAGATAGGATAATAAATGAGTGAAGTTGTAGGAGATTAGAGGTTTTGCACTTGTCGATGATAAAATGAGAGAGAATTGAATGAGATGGTTTGGTCATATATAACGGAGTCCACTAAAAGACACTAGTTTTCGAATAAGTGATAAGATTATAGTTATTGGTGCAAAAAAGATTAGTGTTAGATGTGAAAAATTGCATGGAAGTAATTAACAAGGATATGGTAATAATGAACTTAATGAAGAAGATTACCCAAGTAGAAATGAACGGAAGAATGAGATTCAAGTAGCAGACTCCATATATTTGGGGTTAAGCCTTTGTCGTTGTTTGTCCACTATTTCTTCTTTTTGTGTAAAGACTAGATGCCAAATGGTAGCTATTACACAACATTATGTTTATCTCAAGCATATGCTTGGTTGATGTTGTTGCCTTATTATTACCATCGACTAGATTATTGAAAGATGGTTGACTAAGCTGCAACAATACTACTAGCAAATAGTTGGTTGACTTGAATTCGGTGGATTTCGTAATTTTTACTGGAGAAATGTGGTGAAGCTTTGTTGGCATTGTGGACATGATATGTTGATGCGTTCTAAGTTTTTGTTGACCATGACGAAAGAAACCAAATTAGGTTGAAAGGTCGAGATAAATCATGTCTATTTTTTTTATAGAGGTAATAGAACTTATAGCTAATATCTCTATACGAAGCATTTTCTTTTTATGTAAAGAACCATAGTAGGTTGGATTTGACTTGGTTTGGATTTGATATTTGCTTATCAGGTTAATCTTGAACTCAATTCTAACAGAACTAGATTTATTAACTCGTACCAACTCTACTTACAAGTTTATGAGTGATTTGTGCAAAGTCGATAATAGCTATAGGATAGAATATATAGCTAAATAGGACCAAAAATTGTCTTTTGTTGTGTTTATGTTTCTTAGCAACAACAACAACAACCAAGCGTTTATCCCAAATGTTTGGGGTCGGTTACGTGAATCATATTTTTTTATTCTATTCTGTTACGGGTCATTTCCTCCGTTACGTTAGTCTTAATCATATCCGTTTTAATTACTTCTGATCAAGTCATTCTAGGTCGACCTCTAGATCTTCTAGCCTCATTAACTCTTAACATTATCACTTTTCCTAATCGGTCTTTACACAAAAAGTTAGTTTACAACTAATGCAAAAAGATAAGGACTTGAAACCGACCCTTGGTGTAAACCTATGGTAACAGGAAATAGTTTAGTCTCTCTTTCATTAGTTCTTACTCTAGTTGTTCCTCTATCATACATATCTTTAATCACATCAATATATATTACTAGATACATATTTCTTTTTCTAACACCCACCACATTACCTGACGAGGTACTTTATCATAAGCTTTTTCTAGATCGATAAAAATCATATGTAGATCCTTTCTCTTCTCTCTATATCTCTCCATCAACCGTCTCAAAATATGTATAAGTTTCATACCTCCCAGGCATAAAACCAAATTGATTTCCAGATATACATGTCCCTTTTTTTAGCCTTTGCTCAATTACCCTCTCCCAAAGTTTCATAGTATGACTCATGAGTTTTATGCCTTGATAATTTGAACAACTTTGTATATCTCCTTTATTCTTATATATCAGTATCAAAATACTAATCCTTCACTCATTCGGCATTCTTTTCGTCTCGATAATCTTATTAAATAGTTTAGTTAACCATCCTAAGCTTATATCTCCAAGACATTTTTAAGCTTCAATAGGAATATCGTTCAGTCCTACAGCTCGTCCACTTTTCATTTTCATTAGAGCACTTTTAACCTCGCCAATCTTAATTTTACGACAATATCTATAGTTCCCATCATTCACTATATGGTCAAAATATCTACTTGGTTCACTTGTTTGGTTATCATTAAATAATTGATAAAAGTAACCTCTCCATCTCTGTTTTATTTCCCGATTGGTCACTAGAACTCTTTGATCCTCACTTTTAATACACCTAATATTACTCAAATCTCTACTCTTCCTTTCTCTAATCTTAGCAAGCTTATATATATCTTTCTCTCCCTCCTTAGACATTCTATATTCTTATAAAAAAAATTTCATAGCTTGTCTTTATTCTCACTAACAGCTCTTTTTGCTTCCTTCCTTACTAGTTTATATTTTTCCAAGTTTTCCCTACTACTACACTTTTGTCACTCTTTATATAAAGTTTTCTTCTCTCTAATAACATTTTGCACACTCTCAATTCACCATCAACTCTCCTTACCGTCTAATCTACAACCTTTAGATTCTCCTAGTATATTTTAGCCACTTTCTTAATACAAAAAGACATGCTATTTCACATAATATTAGTCTCATTATCTATGTTCTATGTATCTTCTTTCATTATCTTATCTTTAAAATGTATTAAATTCTGTCCTTTTAAATTCCACCATTTAGTTCTTAGTCTTTTGTTCACGTTAGTTTCTCTACTCCACTTTTTAATAAATATGTCTAAGACCATCAATCTATGTTGTATACTTAAACTCTTTCCTTGTATAACTTTACAATTGTGTTTATGTTTCTTAGCCTAACACAAAAAGAAATTCTTATAATCAAATTCCACATAAACATAGTTTCAATTGCATAAACTAAAAAGTTCAAAACCTCACAAAAGAATATCAATTATCAATTACTTTTATAAAAAAGCAAGATATTCAACACAATTCTATGAAACTAACACGATAATAAAATAACCTATATTTGACTCTATAAACCAATAAGCAATCAATAGAAAATCATAAATATTTCTTTCAAAAGAATTTCTAACTAAGTTATTTGCGTATATACCCCTAAATCATGGATATTTATAAAAATACCCTTAAATCTTAGTATTTACAAAACTACCCCTCAAATCATTAACTTAGTAAAAAAATACCCTTAAAATCAACAAATCATCAATGTGGTGCTAAAAATTCGACTATTTAGTTGATGATTTTTACATTGCGATTATAAGTTAGCTTACCAAAGTTGATTATTGCTTTGGGGCTACTTTTTCCCAAAATTGATGATTTGAAGGGTAGTTTTGCAAATACTGAGATTTGGAGGGTATTTTTGCAAATACCCATGATGTAAAGGGGTATATATGCAAATAATCCTTTCTAACTTAAGGTTTTAACTATTTTCCAAGCGAGCAAAGTTCGATGCATTAACACCGTCGAGTTTAGGATTAGTAACAATCATCATCTCCATTGATTTTTCATATTCCTAGCTAAAATATGAGGGGTCACTTCCTCATCATAGGTATCCATATCTAAGTCTGTGGCAACCTCTTCCCAGTCTAGGCTTCTTATTGCTAACTCATCAACGGAAGCAATCATTTTTGGTTGTTTTATCTTTGCATTTGAAAACTACTACTCATTGTTTTACAAAGCACGTGCCTAGTGCGCCCATGCTCCTGTCTAGTCCTAGGTATTACCTAGGTCGCCCGCGTAGGCATTAGGAGCGCCTAGGCGTAGGCGGAACCTTACGTAGACTACACTGCTTAGGTATTGGCCATTATTTTCTCCTTTGCCACCTCCATCGTCCTCCAACCTCCTCTGACTCCTTTGGTCTTCTCCACCAACTACAAACACTTCCTCCAACTCCACCCTTCAGCAAACCATCTCCACCTTCATTAAAAAAGATATCCTCGTGAAGAAGAGAAACATATTAGCATCAAGGAGAAACATATTAGATGATACACCGTGTATTGGACTATTCGTGTTTTTTTCCTTTTGCTAATATTTTGAGCATTAGGTTTCTGAAATTGGGATTCATGTGTTGTCGGCATTGATTTATTGTATTGGTGTTTCTTAGTATTTATCATTTAGTCTATTTATGCATGATCGGCTATGAATGTATGATTGTTATTGTTAATTTTTGTAATTTTATATGAGTTTAATGCATTTATCTTTTAGATCAATGAGAAAATTTTCATTCACCTAGTAAAGAAGTTGAAGTACATCATGAACTTGGGCATAGCCAAGTGTACGAAATACTAAAGATAAAACATATAAAATTTATATGAGAACTAAAAAAATTACAACTCACAAACTGTTAGCCCACGGCCCAAAGTTATCAGGAACTGAAGCATGAAGAAGAATATCAAAACTTGACCTTTGATATATTTGATCAGGGCTTCAGCTGGCCTCTTACTATCAGTATGCAAATGATTGTTTCTCTCAAGCCAAATAGCATAGGCTGTTGTAATCAAAGCCAATCTTCAGACTTGATGAGCATAGTTAGAAACCCTCAAATTGGTAGACATCCAATGAATCACAACGTCCCAACCACAGCTTCTAAATTGAAAATCAAGCCGATGCATGATTATCTCATTCCATATTGTAGAACTATAAGGACAGTAGAAAAATAAGTGGTCGTGGGTCTCAAAGGAAGAATTACAGAGCTCACACTTAGTGCCAATGATGTTCACTCCAAATTATATCAGTCTATCATATGTGAGCAATCTTTCATTTGCAGCAATCCATGCAATAAAAGAGTATTTGGGCAAATTGAGCGTACTCCGAATAGTGTCATGCTATGAAACTTCCGAGGAATGGGGGAGTAGAGCTTGATATGCAAGAGAAACTTTAAATATCCCACAAATAACACATCTATTTGGAACCTTAATAATATCATCAGTGGAACCCCATTTTGAGATAGGAAAACTGCTAACTTTTAAGATTTGCTTCCACAACCAAGAGGAATTTTGAACAATAGGAACTGTCATATAGTATTTCTTTTTAAATAGTTTCCATGGATTCACTTCATCCACCAAGTATCTTATTTGTGTTGAATAGCCCATAAAAGTTTAAGGGTAGTTGTAATATTCCATTGAGCAGCAGAGTAAACACCCAGACCTCCAACTAAAATGTCACTACAG